GCCTTACCATCATTAAAGCTTGATTAGAGTAGTTTCGTTGGACTAGTATTGTGTTGTAGTGTATTTTTGTAGTGTGAAGCATTTTACACTTCTACAACGTACGTACTTGAGCGAATCTCAGTCATATCGCTATTCGCACAGATTTTTATCTAAAATGGTTATGATAACTAAAATAATAATGAGCGTCACCCATATATTAATATTCCTAACAATTATTCGTTTAAATTTTACCAAAATTTTATATAAGTAGAACATTGCTTTACTTTTCAGCCAAACTTTTCAAATTTAAATATAATATTTATTTTACAGTTTGTATCGCATACTATTAAGTACAGATAAATAAAAAGTAACATTTATGTGTGATCCGATTTAAGTTTATGTGCTGGTTCTCAAATTTATATATTTTTTATATTAGTAATAATAGCAACAGTAATAGTAATAGCGATAGTAGTAACATTGGTACTTCTGGTATATTTTTTATGTTTTTGAAGTTTGGATAAGTATTAGTACCTTATATAAAAATCTACCAAAAACATAAAAATAAACATAACTTTATCATAAAAGTATAAAGCTATTATGGTAAAGATTGGGTTTTTGGTAGATTTTTGTTTTTATGTGCAGTGTATTTGTTTGAATTTTTTTTTGAAGTCATCACTCGCTAATTTAAGTGACCGATATATCAAATAAAGACCAACCACGAGATAGAATTGAATAATTCTTTCATCTAGACCTTCCAAAATAATGCCGCGTTGATGAATACCGCGTTGATTACTACCAAATACTTTTAATAATCAATGAACGTCATCGACATCAGAGGGGAGAAGTATTTGGAAAGGTCTAATTGAGAAAAAATATACTTTAAATAGTTCATGAATGACACCGACACCAAAGTGAAAAAATATTAGAAAGGTTGGATCGGGAAAAGCATGTGTTCACAAAAAAAGGAGGAGATAATTATTGTTAAAGAGCAAAAGTTTCCTACTGAAGTATTTTAGTGTACTAAATAGCCAATAAATGGATATGGATCTTGACTATTTTGCTTTCTACATCTTTTTTCTAATGTTTTAATATGACAAAGTTATCAAAAGTATTATTTTAGCATCTATCGCATATCATGCTAATATTGACAAAATTGAAACAAGTCCAACAAAAAAAACTGTAACCACTAAGAACAATCAAGGTAATATTATACTTGAGTCGATCAAGCCTGTAGAAATTCAAAAAACTGTTATGATAATCAAGTTTCCAACATGGAATTAAAATTTATTACCAAAAGTTGAAGTGCTACCAAAAACCAAAGCATAATTTCTTTTTTGATATTTTTTTAAATATTATAAACTAGGACTGTTTTGTATAAAAAAAAAAAAATGAAATTTCGCAGAATATTATGAACCTTAGTCAAGATATAAAACAACGTAGTATTAGATTATGTTAATAAAAACCAAGATTATTATATCCATATTTACCTTAATTACATGATCATGTTCTAGCTTTATTATATGAAAAAAGATTCTTGTTCACACAACAGCTTAACATTTTAAAGATGTAAAATGGCTAGTATATTAGTTATAATAAAAACTGATTAATCAATAGAACCGATAGCCGATTGGAATCTCTAGACCATTTAGCGATCATCATTTTAAGACGTGCTAGATATAATTTAAGGCGCAACATATATAATTATATACCAATTTATTAAAATTACATGCATTAAATTTTACAAACTTGAAATACTTCATATTCATCTACAGAAAACATTTCAATTGATTTTCTGATTGAAAGTTGGTAATAAGATTTTCTACTAATCCAATTTTTAGAGCTGGAGGTATCATGTAACATACCAAAATCATTATTACCAAAATATGGACCAGTTGACAGACTAGACCAAATTGCATATTGATTTTGACTACTATCTACACGACTAAGAATAGATTTCTTCAGACTTCCACTTTTAAGAGAAAAGATAAAGCTATCAGCTAGTTCATAAGAGCCCCAAAAACTAGCTTTCCATATAGAAGGATTATAACCTCCAAGTATCTCATTTGTATTAGTAACCTTTGCAATAACCACAATACCAGGTATATTATCACATAGGCTATGGAATTTTTCACACGTAAATCCATCCCTACTACCCTTAAGTAAAAGTTTAAATTCATATGGAATTTCCGTGGTATCATAAATTGTTGACCTCCGATCAATCCATGATGAAATCTCAGCTGCATGCTGTACAGTGATTATAGAAGAAGATAGTGTCATAATTTTTTTACGAGGAGGTAAAAAAGGAGATGTAATAGGCATATTTGGAGCTACAAATCTTGACATAATATCATCCCATAAATTCCCTTCAAGAATATTTCGATAAGGTTTAACTTTCTTTAATATATCTTCGCCAGGAATTTGAAAGTATCTAATATGAGGAAGGAAATTTTGAACGGTAGTCCTTAAAGATTTAAAGCTCTCATTTGTCCATTCTTTAATACTAGATGGTAAGTTTGGAGTTTTCTCTTTTCCCCATAGAATAACTTTATTCCAAATTTCTGATTCTTCCATTTGTAAATCATCTCGCTTTAAAATAGCAATTAAAGCGTTTTCCGGAAGATTAATAAAATAATCTGAATTAAAAATTATGCTTGGATTTTTCGCAATAATGTCATCATAAAATTGTTGTAAAAGTTTAAGGTTTTCATTAAGGTAGCTTATTTGATAAACTTGAGAAAAATTCAAGCGAAGCCAAGATGCATTGTTATCAATAAGATGAGATTGAAAGCTCACAACTAATTCTGAAAGTTTGAATTCATTAGCAGTGATCAATAAAAAAAATATTGTCAAAGCTTCAAGTTTCTCTATACAGACTATACCACCATAAATATATCTATATAGTGAATATAAAATCAAATTGTTTTTAATATAAATATATTTTTAATAATAATACCGTACAGTATTACAATTTCTAACTTACTTGATGATAATATTAAATATGTCTGTAGGTATATGAGGTAATTTAATTTTATTAACATTATTTTTCTTAATTGCATTTGTTAATTTCTGACGAAAGTAAAGTGAACGTTGGTATAAGATTGTTGAATGTGCCTTAAAAAGAAGCACATTTGGTTGTTCTCCAATTTCGATTATTACATCATAACCATATTCACTTTCGAGAAGTTGTGTAAAATCTTGTGAAAGTTGTTCAAAAAATTTTAAAGTCATTTTTTGATATTTGATAATTCAACGGAATGTAGTAAGTTGGATATTTAACCTAAAATTTATATATTATCCAAAAAAAAAAAAAAATTAGCTAATTAGAAGACGTTAATTTAGATTAGCTCGGCACATTCGAAGTAGTGATTTACTCGTCAATTCGTGACTCGGATAATTCGAATAACGTAATTTTTAACTTGTGAGTCAATGAAATTTGGAATAAGCTTTCCTTTGACGAACCTTTATGTTCTTATTTAAATTATTTGTCGATACATATAATTTTTTTTAAAAAATAATCTATTTGTCGCCGGAGGTGGATTTTATTTATAGTTGTATTTAGGATTAGAAAGGGTCATAATACAGTAAAATTATACAAGGAATATTTTTTGGTAGGATATAAAAAGTTTGATGTGTTTGAATCATGCGATCTGATTGACTTGGGACTGTGACAAATAGATTTCCTCATTTTTTTAATATTATAATTAATCACTTAGAAAAATTCATAATGCTAAGTAGAAGTCATATTTTAAGCACCAATTACATAAAATGATTTGGGTAGCTAAGAGTTTTTGCCTTTGACTATTGGAATAAGATTTTAGAATTTACAATAAGTATGTACGTTATAGATAATACAGTATATTCAAAATCTGGTTTCTTGTGCTTTATTTAGAATTAAGGTTTAAGTAATAATAATGTTTATATGGGAAATTTTGGTTTATTCTGAAATATATTCTATAAAGATAATTATCATTTATCGCAGATACGATGCATCGCCACTCTATAATTGGGTAAAACAAACAATCACAGGATTAGAGGTGAGGTTAGGGTTTGGGTAAAGCAACACTTAGAAAATTTCTTAACCCAAAATTTTGAAATTTTTTTTTTGTTAGAAGTTTTATAGGTAAAATTTCGAGCTAGAAGCGATTTTTTTAAAAAATCATAATTGCTTCGAGTTACATCCCGGCGATGCAATAAATGATAACTCTCTTTTATAAAAACTATTGTTATCTAAATTTTAATAAATACGTACGTACGTTGTATTGGTACATAATTATTAGTGATGTTAATCAGTTTGTTGGACTCTATTTATGAATCAGCTTCTTTATTCTAATAAACATGTCTTAGGCTTTAAATACAAATAATTTTACATATATGTATGGAATTACCTTTATTGCTCTGGCGTAAAACCTCTGAACCTCATGACGAATTCAAATTATTTTAATACAAAAGCTAGTTTGAAGAATTTTCCAATGAGGATGAGAATTCATTAATTATGAAACAGCTGTAAAATTTTTTTTGAGCCCACATGAAAATTTGGTATGGATATAAAATGTACAAACGAGGAAAGAAAAATGTCTTGAGCTTGAAAGAATTATAATGACACTCGTTAATTTAATCTAATAAACAAGATTATACGTAGCCTATTGAAGCACAAAAGACCTTTGCAAATTATGTTGTTATAAGTAATCGTATCATAATTTATTGAATTAGAGTTCACCTGCTTTTTAATGACTTTTAAATTTATTTATAACTATATAAAATTTTTTGAAAGTTATTAAATTTATCGTTATGTCGATATGTGTCGTACTCCGTAAGCTTTTTGATTATTTTTCATAGCAAGTATGATGGATCATCCAAGAGATAGTTTTAATACATCAGTATAAACATAAAATAGTTTTCAGATCCCAAAGCGTTATTTTGAAAATAAAACTTTGAGTGTGTTGACCAGATAATTAAACATTATAAGGAACCCTATTTTCTGACATTTACAAAACCGGATAAATCGGACATTTTACTCCATTATGGCAAAATGTGTGACGGATCTGCACATAAACTTATAATATTCTTCTTGCATTATTTTCAAGTGCTTTATCTAATGTGAAAAAACTGTTTTTTTTTATAATGCAAAATTAATAAAAGTTTTCAAAAATAATCATTCCGAAACGTACAGTACATAAAAATTTCTATAAGCGGCAAATCGACGAAATCCAACACATTGACGCTAAATATGCAGAAACATTCAAGAAAGCACTCACCAGATTTAACCAAACTGATAAAATTAGTAATAATGAATCATCTTTAGATGGCAAATGTCCGCGTTGTGAGCATGAAAACTCTGCTGAAATTGGTGTAGCTCATGTGCAAAAGATATTTATCTTTCACAATTACCGGATGATTGCTTTTTTAATATAATTGGTTCATTATGGGAATTTTCATTCGGAGTTAATTCATTGCTTGAATATATCCCTGAAGAAAGGCTTCAAAATATAGAGACTAGGTGTGTAGATGGTTTCAGTACTATTTATACAGCGAAATGGATTGGTGGAGAAATTGAAAGTATAGACTTTATTAAATCAAGTATTAAAAGAAAAGGCCCGCAACTTGTCGTATTAAAAACCATACCGCAAGAACCTAAAGAGGTAAATATAAATTTCTATGTATTAATTATTTTAGAATATTATTATTAAATCTCTTCATAAATATAACTTTTCTACAAGATTACCTGATTATTTATGACTAATAGAGCAAATGTTTGTGCAAGAATTTATGGAATTTCTTTAAATAAACCTTTAAATGAACTTTTTATTGTCATGAAATTATATGAGGAAGATGCTCATTCATTAATTGCTCGAGGTTACTGTAAACTTCCTTGGCATACTAGACTTCTACATTTACTTAGTCTCAGTAGGAAACTTGTAATTATTCATCATGAAGGAATCATACATGGTGATTGGCAATGTACTTTATGATGATAAAGAACTTATTATTACAGACCTTGGATTATCATATTATATACTGGAAAACGAAGGGAAGCCAGAAGTTCAAGGAATAGTGTATGGTATTTTACCATATGTAGCACCAGAAGTATTAAAAGGTGAACGACTTACACCGGTAGCAGATATTATAGTTTTGCAATGATAATGTATGAATGATAACAGGCCGCCGACCGTTTTGGGACAGATCTTACGATTAATATTTCGCCTTAGAAATTTGTCTAGGTTTGCGTATGTATTAATCTTCTTTGCTACATTATTAAGTTACTTTAATATTATAATTAGGGCCAGAGATTCCAAAACACACACCAGCTGCGTTTGCTGAGTTAATCACTCGATGCTGGGATCCAAATCCAGATAAGCGATTAAATGCTCATGAAGTTTTTATAAACATTGGTCGATTATTTTATGTGACAATTGATTATTACTCTAATCTTTTTGTCGATAAAGGTGAATTTAAACTTCCAAGTAAGGATAAATTTGTTGAATATTTCACCAAACTTGAAATAGCCGAATACGATGAAGTTCTTGAATTTTTTAAAGATGATTGGTTTAGAATGACAAGACCATCTCCAGAAAAGATACCTGAAAAGTCTATTTCTAGCAAAATATTTAGTTATTTTACTTTTGTTACACAAAATTTAAATTCCGATTTTCTCTTTCAAATCAAAATTTAACTTTATTTGCTATGCACAATATTCTCTAACTTTGATATATATTTATTATTAAACACATTAGTTATCATTAGTACATTATTTTATTGATATATATTTATTATTAAACCAGTACTCTATCTCTTCGCAACTGACTTTTTCGGCCTGTATTATCTCTTTACTTGTTGCACCTTTTTTTGCAAACTATCAGTTTTATCATTCCATCTATTTTTACTGTGGCTCTTAACTTTAACGAACTCTATCTGAATGTTCTTTGTCATAATAAGCTCTCTAATCTTCATTAGTGATCATTAGACACATTAGTGATCATTAGTACATTGTTTTATTTTTTATTTTTTACCCTCGTTTTTCAGATAATGCTATATACTGTGAGCCCGATTTTCGGGGTCACGGGTGCCCGAATCCGGGTGACGATCCTTACCCGATCCAAGGTCACGCGAAAAGTAACGGAAATGTTACATCTGGTACTTATGTCACTTCTACTACTTCGGCCATATATGTGTTAAATGACATATCTGCCTTTTATTACATTTAGTTAATATATTGAGCATAAGGAATATCTTGCATTTATGGCATAAATTGATTACGAATGTAAATAAGACGTTTATTATATATAAAGGGCATTTCTGCCCAGGGAAAAGAGATCAGTTCGTCCCTTATACAAATAAATCCTCTAATAACAATAAATATCCGACCCATAATAAAATACAAGTTCTATAATAAACTACTAAACTATCGTTAAAATCCCATTGTTATCACTAACGCTAGCCCGTAAACCACCAAACCGCAAGTTGATCGTTCGCCGCGAGTCACGTGACAAAACCGATAACGTAATAGAAGAGTCCCAACCCCGATTCGACGTAGTGTAATCCCGGGTTGAGGTAGACAAAGAGAAGGCAAAGGTTAATACAAGAATAGGTTGAAGGAAAGACTTA